TCCACCAGAAAGTTCTTAGAAAATACTTTTAGAAAAATATCTAGATATAAGGCCAAGCATAAGAATTGGGAGCTTTCTTTTATGTAAATAATAAAGTAGTTGAGATAGAAAAGAGGGGTCCCACTTATTTCTCTTATTGCTTCAAAAAACAATACCTCAGAATAAATCTAAACAAGAAGGCAAAATACCACTATAATAAAGTCTTCAAAACACTGAAGAAAGAAAGAAAAGACAACCCTAAAATATGGAAAGACATTTCACTTTAATGTATAAGAAAAAATGACATTGTGAAAATTGTTCTACTATTGTGAGTTCAATCCCAAAGACAGTCTTCAAAGAAACAGAAGAAACAACCCTAAAATTCATGTTGAAACACGAAAGATCCCAATAAACAAAGCAACCATTCGCAGGGACTGTCATTCTGGAGATATCACAATATCTGACTTAGAACTATACTGTGAAGTGATGGAGGTTCTGCCAATATTTCAAAAAAAATTATGAAAGCAGGGCTATGTGTAGCAGGTTCAGAATGTGTGCATGAAGTCTCTGAGTACATGTAAGAGACACCTGCAAGATATTTCATTTAACAGTGTTGGCCTCCATGAGGTGGGAAGTTCTGCTCCACCACATTCTGCCACCAACATTCTGCCTTAGTACAGGCCAGGTAAAGCCAAATCCACCAACATTCTGCCTTAATACAAGGCCAGGTAAAGCCATGTGAACATAAAAGGAAACTCTGAAACCATGAGACAAAGTAAACCATTCTTTCTTTTAAAAACTAAAAAAAAAAAAAAAAAAAAATGTTGGCCAGGTATAGTGGTGCACAACTTTTGTCTCAGTAACGAGGAGGCAGAGCTAGGCAGATCTCTGTGAGTTCAAGTTCTTAGTCTACAGAGTGAGTTCCAGAACAGCCAGCGCTACAGAGAAATCCTGGAGAGAGAGAGAGAAATGTAGTACATTTACACATTTACACAATCGAGTATTGCTAAGCTGTTAAAAATGGCATTATGAAATTTGCAGGCAAATGGATGGAACAAGAAAAAAAAATCCTGAAATAGAAAATAAATCCAAAAATTCATATGGAGCTACAAAAGACTAAGAATAGTCAAATAAAATCTGAATAAGAAGAACAATACTGGAGAGATTATCATACCAGGTCTCAAGATATATTACAAAGCTATAGTAATAACAGGACCATAGTATTGGTATAAAAAAAGATGATATATGGACCAATGAAACAAAACTGAGGACCCAAATATGAATATATAACTGCTTTCATCCAATATTTAACAAACATGACCAAAACATATGCTGGAGAAAAGACAAACTTTCCAAATAGTGCTGGAAAATTGGAAAACTGGATGTCCATGTGTAGAAAGATAGAACTAGATTTGTATCTCTTACCTGACACAAAACCTAACTCCAAATGGGTCAAAGACCTCCATTGAAACCTGAAACACTGAGATAGATCACTAGAAGAAAACATAGGCACTACCCTACAGATATAGGTGCAGAAAAGGACTTTCTGAGTACAACTCCATTTGCCCATGAATTAAATAAAGCCAACAATTAACAAGAGGGAACCTCATAAAGCTGAAAAGCTTCTGCACATTGGAGGAAACATTTGAGTGAAGAGAAAGCTCATGGGATGAGAGAATCTTTGCCAACTAAACATCTGACACAGGATTAGTATAGAAAGTACTCAACAAGCAAAGGGTCAAGAAAGCAAACAGCCTAATTAAAAAGTTGGCTGTGTATCTAGACAGAGCATTCTCAAAAGAAGAAAAAAATGGCTAAGAAATATCTCAAATTTTTTTATCATCCTTGAATTAATTAGGTAAATTCAAACAAAAACAACTTTGAGATTTCATTTTACCCCAGTCAGAACATCACAGATCAACAAAGAATTGACAACAAATACTGGAGAGGATGTGGGGAAAGGGGAACCCTTATCTGCTGTGGATACCACTCTATATAAATAAAACACTGACGGCCAGTGACCAGGCAGGAAGTATAGGTGGGACAAAGAGAGAGGAGAATTGGGGAAACAGGAAGAAGGAGGAGAGACACTGCAGCCACCGCCAGGACAAGCAGCATGTGAAGACGCTGGTAAGCCACCAGCCACGTGGCAAGGTATAGATTTATGGAAATGGGTTAATTTAAGATAAAAGAACAGTTAACAAGAAGCCTGCCACGGCCATACA